ACCGCTTTCAGGGTAGATGAGGAAGTCCCAGTCAACCCTGTCAAAAGCCTTCTCCACGTCAGTGGAGAGTAGGACGCAAGGAGAGGAAGACGACAGGGCGGAGTGGATGACCCCCAAGGCCCGGGTGGTGTTGTCCCTAGCCTCCCTCGCCGGGACGAACCCCACTTGGTCTAGGTGTATCAGATCAGCTAAATATGGGGACAGGCGGAAGTATAGGACCTTGGCAAATAGTTTTGTGTCCACATTGAGTAGTGAGATGGGCCTGTAGCTGGGACACAAAGTGGGATCTTTACTTTCTTTAGGTATTACCGAGATATGGGCCAAGAGTGATTCAGGCGGGATAGTGGCGTCGTCTCGGAGGAAGTTGAGAGCCCGTAGAAAGTGCGAGGAGAGATGTGGCAGGAACTGTTTATAATAGGTGAGGGTAAATCCGTCTGGTCCGGGGGCTTTGCCAGATTGGGTGGATTTGATAGCGGATTCCAATTCGGCGGACGTGATTGGGGATTCCAAGAGTGAACTGACGGAAGGGTCGAGGGAGGGCATGTTGGATTTGGCAATGTAGTCGGCGATGCACTTTGGTCGAGATTGAGAGGGGGTGGATGGGGGGTGAGAGAGATTATACAGGGACGAATAATAGTCACTAAATGCAGCAGCTATGTCTGCCGGTGAAGTGGACTTGCTCCCCGTAGAACGGGTGATGGTCGGGATGTGAGTCCGGGCGTGTCGTTTACGAAGAGCACGTGCTAGATACTTGCCACATTGGTTTCCATATTCGTAGAACAACTGCCTGCATTTCATCAGGGAAGCTTTAACCTTGGTAAGGCAGAGAGCTCGAAGCGTCTCTCGAAGGGATGTCAACTGAGATCCCACTATACGGTTCACGGAGGCCTTATGACGGGATTCCAGAAGGTGTATCTGGGTCACGAGATCAGCGATTTGTGTGAGGCGTTGCTTCTTAAGTCTGGCACCGTGGGCTATAAGGGAGCCCCGTATGGTCGCTTTATGGGCTTCCCACACGGTATAGGGAGGTACATCAGGTGTGACATTTTCCCGGAAGAAGAACTGTAGTTCTTGTTCGAAAGATGTCAAGACAGTCGGGTCTTGTAGCAAGGAATCATTCAGCTTCCATTGCCAGGGGGGCGTCAAGAGAGAGGGTAAGTAGGATAGGGGCGTGGCCTGAGAAAGTGATATTACCTATATCTGTGGATGTTACTCAGGGAAGTTGGCTGTGATGAATGAAAAAAAAATCGATGCGTGTATAACGCTGATGAAGGTGGGAAAAAAAAGTGTAGTCCCTCGCAGAGGGGTGTTGGATGCGCCAGACATCCGACAGTTGGTGGCCAAAGAGACAGCGCTTCATGCGGTTCAGCTTATTGTAAGAGAGGTGGGAGGAGTCCAGGTTGGGGTCAAGGACAAAATTAAAGTCACCTCCCAGGACCAAGAGGCCACCTTGGAAATCGGCCAGGAGGGACAGGGCACGGGTCAAGAATGTGATCTGGTCCTGATTAGGTAGATACAGGTTGGCGAATGTAACTATCTGGGTTCCAATAGTGCCCTTCACGAAAAGAACCCGGCCTTCTTCTCCAGCATATTGATCCGTCTCCGTCCAGGGGAGTCTGCGGGACAGGACAATACTGACCCCACGAGAGCGTTTGTCAGGGGAACTACTGTGATAGACCGTAGAGTAACGGTGGTCAGTTAACCGGGGAATCTGGTTCGTTCGGAAATGGGTTTCCTGAAGGAGAGCTACGTCAACGACCTGGCGGTGGAGATCCCTTAGGATCATAGTGCGTTTTTCGGGAACGTTAAGGCTCTTGGTGTTCAAGGATAAGATCTTAAGGCGAGACATGACCGTTAGGCCAGCAGGGGAGAGAAGCAATAAGAGAGGGGAAGAGAGAGGGGCGGGGAGAAGGGGGGATAGAGGAGGAGAGAGAGTCAAAAGTGTGGGTGGGGCAAAAAGCAGACAAGTAGGGGTACGGGTGTAACTACAGAGCTGGGTTACCAGCAATTCGGATCGTCACCGACCTCGAGGGAGCAGCGATGGAGCTCCCGGGATCGGGGCAGAGCCGATATCCTATGTGGGGAAAGTGGGAGGCTACGACTAGCAAGCAAAGAGGCACTCTTCGAATAGGGAGAGGAATAGAAGGTCCCAGGCATACAACCGGGAGGGGGGGGAATGGATCGGGAGTCCGGAGCAGCTCCACTCAGGCCAGGGAGCAGCTACATCCAAGGAGGTTACAGGTATGGAGAGGGTATCCAAGCGGTCTGTCACGGTTCCCCAATGAGCAAGGTTCTATGCGTCATCCACTGTGGTGTGTAGCGGGGAGTAGCGGGTCGTAAGGCCTGGGGAGCAGGAAGGGCCGTGGAATGGGCCAGCATCAGAGGGGCGTGCAGACTAGGCCAGTATGCCATCACACGAGTGCACGGTAGGTCTAGAAGGGGGCCCATGTCCCAGATGTAGATCACCGCCTCCACAGAGGGTTCCAACGGGTACGACCGTGAGCATAGCGAAAAACAAAAGGGGGGAGTGCGCTCCGGTAGCCGCTGGGGTCTAATCTGAGAATCCACCTTGGAGAAAGGGCTAGCGGAGGGGGAGTGATCCCATACCTGTCCACCGTCGGGAATTCAAGGTTCGTTGGTGGTCGGTGCATGGCGAGGCAGTCTAGGCCTGCTCCGGGAAGGGCTCCTGCGGCGTCTACCTTGAGGCATGGGGCGAGACTCGAAATCCAGGTCGAGGGCCAGCCAGTCAGGTACATCGATGGGTTCAGCGTCCAGGAAGGAGAATAGGTCAGCCAGTTGGAGTTGATGGCGGAGATTGAAGGTCCGGTTAATCCTCTGGATGTTAAGGCTGAAGGGGTAGCCCCAGGTATACAGGGCTCCGGCCTCGCGAATCACCGCTAGGAGGGGTTGCAGAATCCTTCGCATGTGGAGGGTGCGACGGGACAGATCCGGCAGGATAGTGATGTCCGCTCCGTCGAAGGGAACCGGGCCCTTGTGCCAAGCTTTGCGCATAACGGCTTCTTTTTCCGCGAAGAAATGTATGCGGCAAAGGACGTCCCTAGGCCTCACATCACCATCAGGTCTGGGGTTGCCAACGCGGTGCACGCGGTCTATCTCCAACGGTGAGTCTGGGGCCTTGTCCAAAATCGCGTTGAGGATGGCGGTCACAGTTGGACGCAGACCCGTCGGAGTAGTAGCCTACCGGGAGCCCCCGGAGCTTGATGTTGTTCCGTCGGGTTCTGTTCTCGAGGTCATCTTGTGCGATCAGGATGTCCATGAGGTGGCGGTCATGGGAGGCCGAGTTTTCCTGAAGCTGTGGAGGGGGAAGTAGGCCTCGGGGCTATGCCTTGCGTCCCGGGGGTCATGAGGCCCTTAGATGAGCTGCGGGTGGAGGAGGCTGGTGTGGACAGGAAGCGCTGTAAGGACGTCTGGGGTCGTTGGTCTTCGTTAGAACGGGATTTGGTCTTCAGCGACATCAAAAGCGAGGGTTTGGGATGCCGTGATCAACTGAAAAGTCTCAGGTGGTAGCAGAGCTCAAGCAATGTGCTTCCTTACGCCGCCATAGCCAAGCCACGCCACGCCCCCTACTGACACACTTTTGACATTTTTGCTGTGTGATTCTTCCACGTCATTAATATACTTTCTTACAAAGTGCACCCAGACATATTATATATTGTTATTTAGAGGACAGATGGGGCTATATATTTATATCACATATGTGTACCTAACGCCTCACTTAGGACAAATACAATATTTAAAAAATGAAAAAAACTTAAAGAAAACCCTTTTTCCCCAGTTTTGGTTTGTTGTATTTTTTTTTTTACAAAAACAGCACAGCTAAAAAAAATGCAATACATACATTCATTTATTTGTCCTTTATTTGGAAAACACACATTCCTAGGATTTTAGAAATTTTTCTGTACTACTCGGCCTAAAACCAATACCTAACATTTTAATCTTTTTTCCCTAAAAGCTAAAAGTGGTCACCTGGCAAACAATGTCACTAAGTGTCACACTTAATGACAGCAACATACTTTGAACATCACTGTCATGAGAGGGTTAAAAGAAATGTAACTCCTTAGGGTGAAAAACAAATCTGCACCTCAGCTGCAGATTTTTATTGTAAGGGGTTAATTTTTATATAAATGATAGTATAAAAATATATTTAAATATCATTATTTGTTACATTTTTATTTGTTACATTAATTTTTTTTACACTTTTTTTTAAAGTGTTTACATTTTTATTGTATTTATTTAATTATATCAAGCAGTCATTGTGAATTAATCTCACTATTACTGCTTGATAAATTAGCCAATTCATTTTTGGTTATTATTAGGCTGCTTTAAACTTAAGAACAGCCAATAATAACCTTAGTGACACTGATCCTGCAGCATTTCAGGATCAGATGTCACTAAAGGTTTTCTGATCATTCCAACAACAATAAGAAAACTGCAACATTGTTTCAAGAATAGAAACATTATGTTTCTATTGCTGAAAGTAAAAAAAAAAAAAAAAGCCGGTTTACATCGGGATTTCCAATCTATACCACCTGTCAGAGTGACGGCAAGAGCTGCAAATGCGGCTCTGCTATCACTCACCCGATTCCTGAAAGGGATCAGGTGTCTGAAAAAGGTTAACTCTTTCATTAATAGGAGCCTCTATACTGAGGCATCCATTAATGAATGGTAACAGCTGATTCTCAGCGGTTACCAGCATTGTAGAGCAGCAAATAACTGGTCACGTACAGTGTACGGGGCCAGTCATTTGAGCACTTCGTGACGGGCTATACAGTGTACGTCTCCCGTCACAAAGGGGTTAAAAAGCTCTGGTAGTTTGGATGGATGTTTACGGTGTTGAGGAAAAAGTGGTTAATGTATAGGTCTGTGTGGTGGCTTTAGATTACATCTGCACACTGTCTTTTTCCTTTGTTTCATTTTTTTTCTCTTTACCTTGAACTTCAATAACAATAGCTTAATGTTTATTTATGTTTTGTATTTAGAATCCATATCAAGGAACAATTGTGCTAGCAACAGTAAAAGGTGATGTACATGACATTGGCAAGAACATTGTTGGTGTGGTACTGGGCTGCAACAATTTCAGGTATGTTGTCTGAAAATTATACATATTTATACTTTTGAAACCTAACCTAAATACACAGCAATGTTTATTTGAGGCGGTTCACACCTAGACGATTGAGCTGTTTTTGCGTGTTTGTGGTGCCTTTTTTGTGTGTGCTTTTTTGCTTTGAAAACTGCACGGTTTTTAATGCATAGAGATGTCTATGGGACAAAAACCGTGTGACAACCGCCCGAAAAAAGCTCCTGTACCTTTTTGCGCAATAGGTAATTATGTCCGTATGACTCAACGGCCGAAATATGTTCTGGAATATTATGTTAAATGTACTCCTGAATGTAAAATATGTGCTGGAGAAATAAAAAAAAAACACATTACTATTATATTCTGAAATGCATTTCTAACATATTTTATATATCACAGGCCTATAAAATCATTAACTATTTCTGATAATTTTTAAAATATATTTCCAATGCATTTCAAATTCCAAAACATTTTCTGGATGAAGAAAAAAACAGTACAATGCACAAATATTTTATTGTTATCTTATTATAAATAAATATCAAAAATACAGTAGAATACAATAGAAAAACACTTGTACAACAATCTCTGCGAGTCTTCCGCTCCCGGCCGCCGTTGGCTGGCGTCAGAATAAAAACAAAATAATACATTTCACCATGCTAGATTCCTATTGGCTATTTCAATTTGCAATAGCAAACTAGCTATTGCACCCACCCACTGCTGCAGTTCTTCATCAGGTCCCCACTAGTGATTGACAGCAGCAAAGGGCGGGTGCAATAGCTAGTTTGCTATTGCAAATTGAAATAGCCAATAGGAATCTAGCAATGCATTACTATGGCAAACATTTTTTTTTTTCTTTCTTTCTTTCTTTTTTTGTGACGGCAGTAGAACCGCCGGCCTATAGAAAACAGTTGGGTGGAGCTAGCTGTCATTGCTAGCTCCGCACAATAGTTTTCTATTTTTTTTCTGCTTTTCTAACTATTTGTCTGTTCTGCTCAGTCCCACAGAGGTACCGAGCAGAACTTCCGAGCCGAATGCCGCTGAGCGGCATATTTAAGAATAGACCGAACAGCAGCGAGTAGCCTGCCGCAGGTTCATAATAGCAATGTAGGGAAAACTGTTTTTTTCCTCAAACTTTTGTCATAGTAAAAAAAAACCCAGTGGTGATTAAATACCATCAAAAGAAATCTCTATCCCAAAAATGGTATAAAATTAATTTCAGTACAGCATTGCATGACAGAATAAATGTCAAAGTACTGTAGCGCTGAATATTGAACAATTACCGGGTCAAGAAGGGGGAACACGCCGGTCAGCAAGTGGTTAAGATTTATTTTTCTTTCATATAGGGCTGAACTTACAAAATGTCTGCTGCTGGGAGATGAGTGACTAAATCCTCCCCTGGGCACCAGTCTGTATTGTAACAGTATTTGTGATGCACCAGTCCCTCTGCCCTTTCATAACCTCTCTACATATAGTATAATGCATACACTTTATTGAGATAAAGTCTGTACTATATACATTGAGGCTATTGACTAAACTGTTAGAAGGTTGAGGGATAAATATTACACCACTGGAACATACTATATACTAGCACTTAGGGAGTTAGAATCACAAGACTAACAGAACTGGGTAGCAGGGCAGAGAATAATATATACATTAGGGGAGACATACAAATATCTGTTACACTAAGTGCAGAGCTCATGCTGCATGGTGACTGGAGCCATATATACTTGCAGTACTGTGTGCACAGAGCTCATGGTGACTGGATGTGATTGGGAGGTGAATGAATACAGAATATATTCATAAAACTTGAATCATTCACCTTACTTCCACCATTCTAATGCTATTTGATAAGACAATGTGTTACCTTAAATCCAGGAGAATGGAGGATTGTGAGAACAGATAGAGAGAGCTTTCAGCCCATGCAGCTGAGACCAGAATCAGGAAGTGAAACTTCACCCTCTATCTCAAGCTAAGCCGAGCTCCACCCACAGACCTGCTATTCTCTGTCTGGAATCTATGCTGCTCATGTACTTTGGTGCATGAGAGTGCACCCAGGGTTGATTTTACATTTTAAAGAGATTGTCTGAAGGCACAGAAATTTGATCAACACACACACAGACACACACACTTTTACATGTACTGTATGTAAGTGATGGGAGATGCATTTTTGATCTCTCTCTCTCTCTCATTTATATAGTCTGTGTGTCTGTCTATCTATCTATCATAACTTCCATCATTATACATCCCTCATATGAATGTGAGTGATGATGATGATTATTATACAGTTTTAATATAGCGAAAACAGTTTACGCAGCACTTTACAAAATGGGGAGACAGTACAGTTACAATACAATTTCAGTTTTTCAGTGCAATAGGGTTCCATCCATCCATCCGTACACGCACATGCACACACACACTGCAGAAAACGTTTCTGCCATGGTTGTGTCATTTCAGATATGTGAAACTGATGCCAATTTCAAAACTTTAAAAATAAGAACATTGCAGGAAGTCTCTTTGACATGTATTCAGAAACTTTAGCTATTTTATAGCGATTTTTTTTCTTTTTTTTTAAACAGTACATTCCAAGTTAATTTTACAAACATTTCTGAAAAAATATATGTCTAAATGCCTTTTTTAGATGTTAAAAAATAACTGGAAAATGTATTTTAAAAATATCTTTTAAAAAATATGTCTTTGGAAAATGCATTTAAATTACATTTTTGGAATGCATTTACAAATATATTTAAAAATATATGTTAAGATCGATTTTTTTTTATATGTTAAAAATATCTGGAAAATATGTACTAAAAATATATTTTCAAATATGTATCTTTGGAGAATACATTTTAATTACATTTTTGGAATGCATTTCCACATATATTTAAAAATATATGCTGAAATGTCTGTTTTTACATGTTAAAAAATCTTAAAAATATATTTTCAAA